CTCCAGCCACAGCCGTGTGGCGAGGGACCCCGGCAGCAGGTACCTGGGGGCCGGGCAGTCTCCCGCAGGCAGCCCCAAGCTGGCCGGGGCTTTTCTCGGAGCCAGCCCAGGACCTGCTCCTCCGTCTGGGGCAGGAGTCTCGCTGCTCCCGCCACTGGGGACTGCACGGTCAATGCTATCAGCAAGGGCGAGGGCAGCCCGCTCGCCGCAGTATGTTTCAAAGAGAGCAGAAGAGCAGTTAAACACGTCAAGGTCTTGTGCACAGGTACATCATGACCCCACAGCACCCCGCGGCAAGACCCACGTCTACAAACCGCTCCCGCGTTTCGCGCTGGCCGGCGATGCCTTCGGTGCCGCTCTCGTAGCGGCGGGAGGGCCAGGTGCCCGGGGTCGCCGCTCGCTGGAGAGGTGTCTGCCGCTGCGGAAGGATTAAGTGCTAGAAATGAGTGTTTGGAGGAGCCTTGCTGATGGGGTCCTACCAGAAAAAGGTTCTTTTACTGCAACTAGTATTTTATTCTATTGTATAATTCATGAGTGCATCACAGCCCCGAGAGCCGGGCAGGCACCTATCAGCGCTTCAAGTCTAGACACATGGAGAACTTCCTCATCATCTGGATCTATTTATTACTCACCTCCCCCTGGCTGGGAGCTCCTTGTCGCCACGCGCTGCTGAGCGGCTGTCGCGTCCAGCCCGGAAAGCTGGGACAAGGCAGCGCCTTTGCAGAGCTCCTGGACAAAAGTGACTGTGCCAGAATCAGCCTACAGAGCATTTAAAAAAAAAAAAAAAAATCTTGGCGATCCTAAGTTTGCTTATCAAATAAAAAGTTCCTCCACATTTATTAAAAAACCAAACAGTAGATTTAAAAAGCAGTTAAGAGTCCTACTCCGGCAAAACACCCTGTACAGGTTTCTTTTGTTGTTGGTTTGTTTGCTTTTTTCTGATGGTGAGGATTCCCCCTAAATCAGCTGCTTCTGTTAATTTTTTATATATATATAATCTTTTAATTTTGCCGCGCGTTGCTTGCTTTAATTAATTAATTTATTTCCAATCAGCCTAGCCGTCTCCACCAGACCAGCAGCGCTACCACACAAAGCT